ATTGGAGCTATGTGCGACGATGATGGTTGCGGTGTAAGATGATGATGGGGAACAGATCTTCGTGGTGGGTTGTAGGTGATGCCCAAATCGATGATGACGTGAGTTTTATGAAACCCTAAAAAGAGAGAGGTGGAAATATATACACGAGAAGATTAAAGGAAATATGTGAGTGGGTGAGAAATTTTAGGAGATAGGTAAAGTTGAAATTCTTGTTATGTCCTTCTGACCATTTAAAAGTTACATTTTAATGCCAACAATTTAAGAATTTTTCATAAATCCCCCTTTCAATAATGACCTTAGATTTAAGTATTTAAATGGTCCAAATCTGTTCTCGCGTTCTCAACCTTTTAGGTGTTTTCATTTGATCGTACTCTTTTATATATATATATATATATATATATATATATATATATATATATATATATATATATATATATATCATTTTAGGTCATGTTAGAAATTCTCATTTGTTGATAATAGTCTATATATATATATATATATATATATATATATATATATATATATATATATATATATATATATATATATATATATATATATATCATTTTAGGTCATGTTAGAAATTCTCGTTTGTTGATAATAGTCTTGGTAAACTATTTGTATTATATACTAATTTGACTGTCAACCAAAAGTATATACTAATAACTAATTTTTCTTGATATATTAATAATATTATAATATTTTTTTTATCTTTAAGTAATGTATCATTTTTGGTGAAAATAGTTCGGGCTTATAAATATTATTTATTAACGATTAACAATTTGAACATATTTATAATATCGATAATAGTTTATTATATTAGTAAATTTGGAAATATATTTAAATATATAATTATTGGTGAAACTATTTTTTAAGATTAAAGGAGTTAAAAACTATTAAACTAGCACCTTCGGGACACTTACGTATAAAATAAATTCAGAAAGCATTTTTAATATCATATATATTATTTCCTATTATATTACTTAGAAATAAGACTTGGCTGAGAATTGAACTGCACGCCAATATTGAACTTCGGAGTGAGGCGATTTTTAAAAGGACAAAGCGTATGTCATAATAAACAAACACAAGATAACGATGGATATCTGGATCATCGAGAAAGTCAGAGGCTGGAAAATACCTTCGATCTTGGTATTGATTATACCGTAATTTTAAATCGAAATCTAAGAATATACTTCGATGATAAATGTATGAGCAGGAATGAATAATCAAGAATAAGATAAAAAAAAAACTAACGTATTCTATGTGTAACTTGTTTAAAGCCTACCCCTTTGTATATACCCACAGAATTTTCATAATGACTTTTACAACTCTTATAAAGATTCTTTATCATAAATAACTTTTTATCAAAAACAAAATTTTATCGTGCGGTGATAAAAGATTTATATAGTCTATAACGCGTACGGCTAACAATTAATAAAATGAATATTTATTTAGGAGAAAATGTATTTATATACGAAAATGTTTACTTAAACATCATATTCACAATTTGTTAGATGTTAAAATATAAAAATCAGTCAAAATCAACAAAAATTGATTTTAATAATAAACAAACACAAGATAACGATGGTCTTTATATATGGGTTTTTTAATCTTATTTATAAGGTTAAAATATAAAAATATGTTTTTAATAATATGAATATATATTTTAGAAGTATAAATACGTATATTTTTATTTTTTTACATTTTTAGAAATATTAATATGGGTTTTAAAAGTATAAATATGTATTTTTATGTATATAGAGGTATATCAATAAAAAAACATGTTTATATGAACAAAAAAATTTACATTTACAAAACATAAAAGTATGTATTTATATGTTAAATAATAAAAAAATACATATTTATACTTCTAAAAAAATATTAATATTTCTAAAAAAATATAGTTATACTCTACAACTATATTTATACTTTTTGAAAACATAAAAGTACGTATTTTTATCAGTGTTACAAAATTCGGCCTAGGCAGCCGATTAATCGGAATCGGGTTGGGGCCGATGCACTTAATTAAGAATCAATAAAAAAAACAAAAAAAAAAACTCGGAACCAATCAAGCTCTATCAAAATCAGTCAAAATCAACAAAAATTGATCCATATCAGTCAAAAGCAGTCAAAATCAGCTCCAATTCGGTTAAAATCGAAAAAAATTCAAAATCGGTCAAAATCGGAAAAACTTGAAAATTTTGACTTTTTTTTAGAAAAAAAATATATAATTGTTATTGATATTCATCTATTTTATTATAACTTTTAATAAACTTGTCGATGGCTTTGGAAATCGGTTCCAATGTACACTCCACCTAGACTCAATACTCGTTAGGCACTAGTCAGCGGCTTTAGAAATGTTTAACGAGTTTTGGAACATTGATTTTTATATTTTAAACTGTATAAATAGGAAAAACTCTTATATAAAAGAAATGGCATTTAAAAAAATATAAATACAATTTGTAGTTAAATATTTTTTCATGTACAATTATATTTTTTCTGCACGAATATTTATAATATGAGAAAAACAAATATATATATATATATATATATATATATATATATATATATATATATATATATATAGGATAAAAATGTAAAAGATTTATAATATTAAGGGTTTTTGTTGCGAAATTTATGTCATAGTAACCTACAAATATAGCAGTTAGCAAGGGCAAAGGTAGTTAAAAAAAATCTTGTAAAGCTCTAACTTTAAGGTATCAAAAAATGACGGTGGGGTAAGATAGTTTTATGACAAAACTTCAAAAATGGTTCCTGTGGTTTTTGAAAATATCAAGTTTAATCCCTAAGTTCAAAAAATCTCACAAATGGTCCCTGTGGTTTTAAAACTTTTAACATTTGGTCCTTCCGGCTAACTCCGTTACCATTTAGCCGTTAAGTCAGGAGCATTTTTGGTATTTCACTACATAGGGACCATTTATGAGGTTTTCAGTTACTTTTTTTTAAATAAATAAATAAATAAAATTTAATATGCAAGGGTCCCACCTCTCTCTCTCTCTCTCTCCACACACACTCATTATCGATTTTTACAACCGAATCCTAGCCAGATTTTTTGCAATCGATCTCTGCAATCCATTTATCATTGTTACTACAATCGATTCCAAGCTGACTTTTTCTACCATTACACCTATGCGAACAAAATTTTCAAGCCAGAAAGGGAGTTCTGCCCATTGCAAGAGAATCAAAAAACAATATATACCACCCTCTCACCGGAAAATATGGTGCATCTTTTCTGTGAAAACCTCAATCTGGTAAGAACATAACATATGACTCACACATCAAAAACCAGGTGCGATTTCGGATATGAAACCTAAACCTGAATCAAATTTCATTTGATCGTCCCTTCATCCTCCTTCACAACAATTACTTGAATATTGATTTTTGAAACCTAATCCTAATCTGAATCGAGTTCTAATTTAAAACCTAAACCTAAACTTAATCTGAAACAATTTTTGATCTGAAAATTCTTTTCGGAAGTTTATCAAGTACCAATCATAAACAAGCAGACATTTGAAACCTAAACCTAAATTTGCTTAGATTCGTCCATAAACCCACCCACAACATTGTTACTTCTATTTCCACTGTGCTTGATATGGTCTTCGTTGGAACCTCAAAGTTTCATAGGGAGAAAGAGACGTGAAAGTGACAAAGAAGGGTGAAGGGGATGAGAGGCAAAGATTTGGGTGTTGTGGGATGGTGGGCTAAAAATGTGATTTGATGAAGAATCTCATGAAGAAGATAAAATGCAGAACTGTTGATCATTTCACTTCAAAACTAGAAATCAAAAGCCCATCAAGAGTCTGAAAATCATGAAGATCATTACGAAGTTGGGTTTGTTCTTTATCGATAACCCAACTAGAAGAAAGAAGAGACAATATATAAATTCACAGAAGAAATTGTTGGTCGTATGCTTCTTCGAATTCACTTCCCTATCATTAATGCTTGTTACCATAGATGCTAGCTTCGATTGATGAAAAGGAAAGAATAAAATAGATGAGGAAATGGGGAAGTAGAAGTGTAGGTATGGTGGAAGCCATGGTTTTGATTTTTAAGTGTGAGGGTGTGCAGGAGAGAGAGAGAGAGAGAGAGAGAGAGAGAGAAAGAGGTGCTGCATATTAAATTGTATTTATTTATTTATTTAAAAAAAAATAACTGAAAACCTCATAAATGATCCCTGTGTAGTGAAATACTAAAAATGCTCCTAACTTAACGGCTAAATGGTAACAGAGTTAGCTGGAATGACCAAATGTTAAAAGTTTTGAAACCACAGGGACCATCTGTGAGGTTTTTTTAAACTTAGGGACTAAACTTAATATTTTCGAAAACCACAGGGACCATTTTTGAATTTTTGTCTAGTTTTTACTTTTTTTCTTTGAAAAACTTAAAGGTTTTTATATCGATATTCATTTCAAATAAAATATTATCCCTAGACGACTCACTCACTTATTGGTCATCATAGGTGTTTGAGCATTGGCGGATCTATATGGTGACCGGTCTGTCTCATAACATTCAGCCCCGTAGTGTAAAAAAAATATTCTTTTATATGCAATATCTTTAAAATATAAGTGTCACTATTATTTTTTTTAGTTTCACCACTATTCAAATGTTTTGCGTCCTCCATTTGAGAATGCTTATTTTAAAATTTTATTAGTATATTATTAACACGAATAAGCTAACCTTTTGTTGCAAAAAATAGTTTGGGCTTCTTGTGGTTCGATATTTTAATTCTTTGTATTGAATTAGTTGTTTCATCTTAATATGTTACTTTATTGGAGTTTATTACAGTTGATAAATACTTTGAGTATCCAGATTGCACCATATAACTTCTTTGAAAACAAATTACAAGTTTATTTAATTTGTTTTGGTACCGCATATGGTTAATCCATACAACTTTTTCTTAAATAAATTGTTTTATAATAATAATAAATTATTTAAATAAATGAATTAACATATTCGTCTAAAAGAACAAGGAGAACCCAATGAGGGGTGAAAGTAATATGCAAATGTCGTTGAGAAGTTGGGTAAATATAATATTTTGATGTTTAAGAAGGGCATATATGAAATTCTTCCAAAAATCAATTAAAGATAATGAAAAAACTGTTGCTACAAAAATCAAAATTTCCTTTAAAAAAAAAAACATAAAACATAATAACAATACAACAATATATATTTTAAAGCATAAATCAGCGTTTTTTCATCTTGCTTGAAGACTTGAATCCAAGCTTACGTTTCTTAGAAGCTTCCATTTCAACGTTCTCTTTTAGTTTCTCCAAAGCTTCACACACAAAAACACAACACCAAAGTTAAAGCTAAAGAAACATAGTATAGGATCAAACAACCGAGGGCAAATTTGTAAAATTACCATCATCATAGGTGGATCTGAGGGATTCTATCGAATCAGATGGAAGTGTATAAACAGGACAAGAATCAATGTCGGCTTTCTTCAAAAGCTTCTTGAATTGCTTCACCTGAAACAATAAGTACAATAACGGAATTAATCTCTCAAATGAATTGAACCGAGGGTATTTTGGTCTTTTTGATTAAATAATTAAAATAAAATAAAAAAAAATAAAAAAAAAAGTACTTCGTCTTGGTGTAACAAGGTGAAGCAACGCCCTGAATTCCCAGCCCTTGCAGTTCTCCCAGCACGATGAATATATGTCTTGATGTATGGCGGCTTATCATAATTAATTACATTTCTAACCCCTTCCACATCCATGCCACGTGTCATCGCATCAGAAGACACCACCACTTGTACTCCCCCTTCCCTAAATGCCCTCAATGTCTTGCTATATAAAAAAACAATATTTTAATAAGATGAATTAATAATTGAGAAATGAATAAAACTTAGAGTAAATTACACGAATGATCCCTACTTTTTGTTTTTGTTACACACTTGGTCCCTGTCTTACCCAAAACGACTATTATTTAAATAGGAAAAAATGATGGGGAAGGTAAGGTAAGGTGAGAGGGGTGGGGTTGGGGTGTGTTTATTTAAATAGATTAAAAAATCAAGGGTAAAATAGTCTTTTTATGTATGACAGGGACCAAACGCGTAACAAAAACAAACAATAGGGACATTCCGAATTAAAAATATAAATTAGGGATCAAATGCGCAAATTACCCTAAACCATAGGGACCATTCGTGTAATTTACTCTAAAACTTACCTTCTCAAGGTTTGATGTTGATGACCCGAATATTCCTTGATTTTAATTCCCAAATCTCCAAAAAACTTAAGCAAAGTACAGAGTCGGTGAGTCGACTCAACTGACGATGTGAAAACAATACACTTTTCCCCTTGTAAATTTTTCAAAAGGGAAACAAGGTAAAGAGGCTTCATCTGTTGTTCGCATATCTTCACAATAGAACAAAAAAACCAAATTTAAATTTGTAAAATTATTATTTAATTTTAACCCATAAAATATTATTATTATATACCAATTTGAAAGAGTGGAGATGTTCTGGAAGCTTATAGCGTATGTGTCCGGTTGTCAAGAACAAAGGATGATGCAGTTGAAGTTGAGAAAGTTTGGTTGGATCTTGAGTTAATGTTGCGGATAAAACCATCTTCATAAGCCTTGGGTAAGCTTTGTTTTTGAATCCCCTTTCTACACCACTGAAATTACAAGTTTCGTCCTTATATTATTAAATATTTGTAGAAATGGTCCCTGCTTCTTGTGTTATCAAATTATTACTGAAATGGAGTTATGGACCCTTCTGAATTAGAAAATAATACAGAAATGGTCCGTGTGATCCTTGCCTAATACAAAATTTACGGAAATTGTCATTACGTTTCACAAAGTTACTAGAAATACTCCATGTAGTTTAGAAAACTACGGAAATGGTCCCTGGTTAATTGAAAAGTATAAGAATTGCCACTTACATTCTCCTTATAGTCTTCAAGGAACCAAATGTAGAAGGATTGGAAAAATAGCTATCAATGGTAGAATTGGTGCATTGAAGAACCATTGGAAGCCATGACTGATATGATTCTCTAAGCAATCTATCCGTTTCATCAACTACCTGAAATATAATGAGGGCATTTACGTCTTTTACACACACGAGAGATACAGAGCCAGTCCATGTCAAAAATTGCAATTTTTATCTCATTGACATCAATGTCAATCCAATACTCCAATGCATATTAAACGCACTACAACTTGTTCTATTTTGTCATGTAACAAACAGGGCCTAAATTACATATTTACCCCTCAAGGATAGTATAATTACCAACACAACATGAATTGTTAAGTTTTTAAACAAAACTCAAGCGGAAAAATAAGTATATGCAAAAAAATGTTCATTGAAGTCTGGACAAGTTTTCTAGGGGCTATTTTCAATGATGAGAATAAGGAGGGCATTAACGTCTTTTGCACATACAAGAGCTCAAGAGCAAGTCCATGTCCCACCTTGTTCCACTTTTTAGGTAGGAAAAGGATAATTTGTCCCACTAACATCAGTATCAATCCAGTGCACACCAAACACAGTACAATCTGTTCTGTCAAGTCATGTGATAGTATTAAGATATGGGGCCTAAATGACAAATTTACCCCTCAAAACTTACCAAAAAACGAAGATGCTCGAGTGTAAAACCTTTGGTGTTGTTAATATGATCCATTAGTCTTCCAGGTGTTGCCACTAATATATCAACAGCACTCTGTAACTCAATGGGATGATGATGATGTGGATCATAACATATACCTGCTTCAAGTTTTGGTCTCTCAATAAGCATTGAAATTTCTTCTGATATCGAAGATTGCCCTACAGCCAAACCAACAGATAACCCCACTGCAGGGGCAATTGTGGCAAAAACATCCCTCACCTAACAAATAAATTTGATCTTCTTTACATTGATTCACTCATGAAAGCATTTTACGTAAATCTGAAGGAAGGATATCTCTAACCTGCAACGCTAAATCACGAGTGGGTAAAACCACTAAAGCTCGAAGACATTTAACAGAACGAGATGAAAGCATTTGTACAATTGGCAATGCGTAGGCTAATGTCTTCCCGCTTCCTGTAGGTGAATTCACACAGAGGTCTCTCTCAAAGGAACCAGGGCCCATGGTTTCTTGCCAAACCGCTACTTGAACAGGAAAAAGCGAATCGATTCCGCTATTACACAAAGCCGCCTCCAGACTAATTCAATATTCAGAGAAACAGGAATGAAGAAACAATTTTGGACATGTTTCGTCGATTGAAAAGTCTTTAATACGGAATAAATAAAAGCGTAAAGTAATCGAATGAGAGAGATGATTGTTACCTTGGATTGAGAAATGGAAGCTGGGTGAGGGGGCAGTTTTCAAACGAACTAACATCAACTGGACTTCGCATCCATGGCAACGCTGCTACTTTCGTTTTCACAAGCTTCTGCTCTTTTGATTCTTCTTCCATGGTTGCAAAAGAGAAGCTGATGAAGCTCTTCGAACCTTGATGGTTTTGAGGTTGCAGTTTACAGAGTTACAGTGGCCGGATGCCCTGAGATCGCTAACATAACCGAGTAGAGCGGCCCTGCCTGCCTGCCCTGGTCGTATCCCAGTTTTTGGGCCGGTACCCTGGAGCCCAAAGTGTTTGGGCCTGTAATTTTACACTAAGGAATATATTTTTGTAAATTTTATAAAAGAATATTTTTAAAGATATTCATCAAAATACTGATATATGTATGACAAAAAAAATGTTTGGAAAACATGAATGGTCATGAGTTTGAAAATATAGATTTAGAATAATTTTATAAAAAGTTTTAAGTTTAGTCGAAAATATCGGTTTTACCCTTTAACAATTTTTTTGTTTGTTTATGCCCCAAATTTGTAATTTTTTTGTTGGTTTTGTCATTTTTATTTGTAATATCATATTTCCAAATTACCGTGAATTATTTGTGAAAAAACCTTTAAATTTACAATTCTTTTTACAAAAAAAAACCTTAAAATTATAAACATATGAAATATATATATATATATATATATATATATATATATATATTTATATATAACTAAATGGTTTTTTTTATTTATATATCAAAAGTTTATTAAATCAATATAAATTTTAGAGAAAATAACAAAAAATAGTCATTTACACTAATTACATTACAAAAATAGCCAAAAAAATCGAATTTGCAAAAATAATCATGGGTTTCGCAGATTGAATAGCCCCATCTGCGATTTGCACATTCCATCTGCGAATGTACAAGTGGCTAAAGCACAAGTGTGCTTTAGCAACTTGTATATTCGCAGGTGGATTTGTTTTTTTTAATTTTTTTTCTCTATATATAGGGCATTGGACGATTAAAATCGCAGATGGACTGTGTCCATCCGCGATTTACTCTGTATTCCATCTGCGAAATTGCATATTTTTTTTTTTATTTTTTTTTTTTAGTTTGACTATGAAATCAATTGGTTTGACTACGAAATAATGTTACTATATAAAAAGTTTTGTAGAAAATTATCAGTTTAGCTGTTATTTGTTTAGGAAATCTCTTTAAAATTCTCTCTAAAAAATGATTGAATATTTGGTTTGTCTTGTAACCGATGGGAGACGACAAGTTATTGGAACAAATCTGGAATATGTATGTCCACAGGGAGGTATTTCTGAATTTGCTTTGATATTTTCTGAGTATATTAGTTATAGTGATTTTCTATCTTTGGTGAGAAGCAAAATTGGTTTGTTAGACAAATATAGAATTAGTCTTCATTTCCATCATCCTGAATTAAATTATTATATAGCTATAGTTGAAGGCATGGATGTTAGAATGTTGATAAATGTAATCAAATGTAGTGGAGGAAAGGCTGTGAAAGTGTTTGTGGTGGTTGATGAAGTAAATGAGGTTAATGAGGGTGGTCACAGTGGAAATCAGTCGGTTGGTAATGTATGCAGTTATAAAGGGAGCAACGATTCGATAGGTACTTTCAATACTCCTAGTGTACCTCAGTTCCACAATGTTGCTGAAAATGTTAATGTTAGTTATTCACCTATGTGGATCCTGAGAATTACAAGTATGTTGGTGATGATGATGTTGGTACATATATTAATGATGTGGGTGGTCGTTGTGATGATGTTGCCGAACAAGAAGTTAAAGTTATGAATAGGCGTGTGGTAGATAAAAGTAAAAAGAAAAAAATAAGAATCAAAAAAATGAAAAAAAGCATGTTTACGGGGATTATGTTAATGTTGCTAATGTATGTTTAGATATAACCGACCTACAAACCAATTCAGATAGAGATGACTTGGGTGATAAAGTTAAAGCTAAGTTTCCCGATAACCTTTTTTACGGTATGCCCCCTGTACCAGAATGCCCTGTTGATATTAATGAAGATATCCCAACACAGATGGTAGACAAGAATCTTCAAAAGATTGAATGTGGGAGTATATTTAAGAACAAAAAACTTTTAAAGCGGTGTATTGGTAATAATGTCTTTGAGAAGGTTTTCAGACGATGACAAGTAGATCCAACAAATCAAAGTATGAGGTTGTGTGTGTTTCGAAAAATTGTTCGTGGTTACTAAGAGCAACAGCAATTAAAAATTCTGATGGACTTTTCCAAGTGAATAAATTTGTTGATGTACATACTTGTTCTTCAACAATTTTGCAACCTAATCATCGACAAGCAAGCAAATATGTTTTGGGTGAATATCTTGGTGATGTTTTTCCTGAAGATTATAGTAGAGTTTATCGGGGGAAATATAGTGTTAATGATATGAATGCTCAATTGAATATCAATATCTCATACCATCAAGTATTGCGTGCGAAGCAATATGCATTGTTGTCGTTAAGGGGTACAAAAGAGGATTCTTTTACCAAACTTCCAGCTTATTTCCACAACTTGACCAAACATAATTCGGGTACTGTCACACATATTAAAACAGATGGTGATGATCACTTTGAGTTTTTGTATGGTATTTATGTTATGGGCCGGAAGGCACTATGTTATGGGTCGGAAGGCATTACGATTTGGACCGGAAGGTAGTAGCCTGGAAGGGCGTATATGTGGTTGGTATTTTGGAGGTATCTCACTAAGCTTTCGGGCTTACAGTTGTGGTTTAATGTTTTTCAGGTTCTTCACGAGACTGTGGCAAGGCGAAGGCGTGATCGTACCGCTCCTCGTGTTTATGTTTATGATATGGTTCTGGGAATACTCTGATAATAAATGTATTGAAAACCTTTTTGTAATAACATTATTAAAATGGGTTGTTTTTGAAAAGTTGAAATTTTTGGTCGTTACTGTTGGATTAATGTCTAAATCCATAACTATAATTGGTAAGACTGGACCCGACCCGGCATGGTCCATTTGGGTTGCATGGCATCATGCACTTGGATAGACTAAATGAGAGAAATAAGACACTTATGGTTATTAATATATTATAAGTTCTAGTATATTAATAATAAGAATAATGAGATTATTTAATTAGTATTGATCAAGAATTAATCTAGCATTAATTGAGTGATCAAAAGAAGACTAATTAAATATGTGGGTTGATTGTGTAAATCATCCATACTTGTATAGTGGGCTAATGCTCCATGAAATATCTAGTTGGGCCAAAACCCATATGATGCTCCATGGTGTATTTGAACCCATGGATCCAAGGAAATGGAAAGTCATGACAATTAGGGTTTACCCTAATTGTATAACTATATAAGCATCTTATTCTTGAGGAAAAGCAGCCACTAGTATTATTCTAGAGAGGGCTAGCTGATTTTATGAAGTGTAGAATTCTCTCAAGTTATTCCAAGTGTATTTGGTGTTGTGTGAACCATTTGAGGTGTCACACTTGGGGCACTAGGCACTCAAGCTTCATGAAGACAAGCACCATCAAAGAGGTATGTATTCTATCTTCTTATATTGATAGTTTTGTATGCTAGATTAGGATAATACCTTGGATGTTCATATTTGCATGTATAATAGAGAAAACATAGATCCAAGGTATTTAGGGTTGTATGTACACTTAGGAGTGTTAGAATGCTCATAACCCAACAGTAGTATCAGAGCCTAGGCTTGTTTTCTTGTTATACTTGCAATAGAAGCTGAAAAATCGAAATTGGTGCTGTCAGCCCAGCAGACTCGCCGAGTCCATGAAGGGACTCGACGAGTCCAAGGCAAAATGCATCCAACTCGCCGAGTTATGTTCATGCACTCGACGAGTTGGACCCCAGACAGCATATTTTCGAGGTTTTTGGCTAGAAATGGACTAGGAACATTACCCTAAGTTGTTTTTGAACTTATAAACTTGTTTTTTAATGTGGTAATGTTCATGCTAATCCATTTTCAAAGATAATTGTCAATAGATTCATGTTTTGTATTAGTTTAAAGGTTAGACTAATTACATGAAAAAGTTTGATTTGAATTATCTTGTTCTTATGAGTTGCTTAGATTAATAGAAAAGTTGAATGAAATAGTTGTTTTCAATCCAAATTAATCTAAGAGTTGATTCTAAAATGTGTTTTTGTAACTTGTCCTCAAGTTATATGAAAAGTCACATTTAAGTTTCATAAAACTCATAAAAGTTGGCAATGGTTACAAAAGATGAAGAGTCTTGTCCTTAAGTTATGGAGGTTCAAAAGTCACTTCATTAATAAATAAATAAATAAAATATGTAACCATAATTAAATCCATAAGTTATAAAATAAAGAAAAGTTAATTCTTTATTAGTTTAAAGTCTTCCATATTTTGTCCACAAGTTATGGAACTTGAAGAGTTTTTGGATTAAAACTACTTTAAATACATAAGTTATGGAATTAATTAGTTTTGAATAGTTTCAAAACTTGCCCTCAAGTTTAGGAATTCGTAAAGTTTTCTCATATGAATACTTTAATTCCAAGTTAGCCCTTAGAATTTTAAAAGTTAAAATTCAACCCTTATACTTTATAATATTATAAGTTAATAATATATATATGTATAAGAGTAAAGTCGGTCTTACCGCTAGTACGCCTCATTCACGAAGCCGGTCTATAAGGTGGGTATAAGGTTGTTGCCTATAAAATGGCAACTTAATGGGTGTCCACTCTCACCCACCGCTTGCTTGACTGGTGTAGGGTCGTTAGCCGAACGGGTTTGACAGGACTATAATTCTCCCTTCATTAAAAGTATTAATGATAAATACTAAGTAACTAAACTCTTATAAATACCCAATCTTAGTTACTTAGGAAAATGTGAAGAAGGTGCTAATCCATGAAATTACACTTTGCACTTTGTTTAAGTCGGTTAGTGGAGCGTGTGTGGTTAACCGGCACACTAACTCGTATTTAACAAGGTAGGCAAAGGGTAACTTAATGTTTATCATAGTATCGATGGAGCGTGTGTGGTTAACCGGCACATCGATTGAGGGATAAACACTTAAGGGTACCAAGTAATTTGCATGGTTACTTCACACCTTGTTTTGTGATCCTCGGCATCCCAGTCACAAAACCTGAAGGGCACACTTGAGATTGAAACATGCCATTGAACAGTTCAATGAATCTCAAAAGATCTAGGAATTTCAAATCCAATTAAAACCTAATAATACATTTCGTTTATCTTGGTGGAAATTGGTGAATCGTCATTCACCTACCTTCAAATTGTTTTATAGCTTAGATTACGGCATACCTCTTCTAAGTTATAAAATAGTT